TCTTTCCCTTCTAGAGAGCTGGAATACAGAGGTGCCTATGACCCAGTTTTGATCAAACAGGAAAGGGCAGCACCCTAGGCTCCTCCTACTCAGAGTACGCTTCATATCCCTGCAGCCAGGCATCACCTGGAAACTTGTTAGAAATGCAGACTCTTGCCGGGCATGGTGGCTCATGCCTGTAAATTGAGCACTTTGGGAGGCCGAAGTGGGTGGATTGCTTAAGGTCAGGAGTTCAAGATAAGCCTGGTCAACATGACAAAATCCTGTCTCTACCAAAACATACCAAATTTAGCCAGGTGTGGTGGTGCATGCCTGTAGTCCCAGCTACTCAGGAGGCTGAGGCGGGAGAATCACTTGAACCCGGGAGGTGGAAGTTGCAGTGAGCTGAGATAGCACCACTGCACTCCAGCCTGGGTGACAGAGCAAGACTCCATCTCTAAAAATAAATAAATAAATAAATAAATAAATAAATAAATAAATAAATTTTTAAAAGGCAGCCTCTCAAGCCCTATCCCAGACCTTAAATCAGAACCTGCATTTTTTTAACAAGAGCTGGATGATTCACCGCACATTAAAATCTGATGAAACAACAGCATAGAAAAATCCTGGTTCTCTGAGTGATCACATGGAGCATGGCTTCCCCGATGACTGTTCCTCTCGTTTTAGGAATGTTACAGCAAGAATAGCATAAACCTCTATGGTAAGCCACTCTAATGTGGGGTCTCCTTGTTACAATGGCTTAGCCCTCATCCTAAGTAATGCTGTATCGTTATCCTGGTTTTAAGGATGAGAAAAGTGAGATTTAGAATGTGTACCTTTAGGGCTCTGACAGGAAGCAGGATTTAACTTGAGTGGTTTGAATAAAGAGATTAAGGATGGAGGGCTGGTGTTAAGGATGGAGTGCTGATGTAAGGTTTTTTCCCAGGAAGCTTGGCAGTAAAGGGAAGGAAACCAACTGGTGGCTGAAAGTAGCCTGGGGGTCAGGAACCTGAATATACTGGTGTGCAGTGGGAAAGGAGCCAGTAGAATGGAAAAGATTAAGGTTAAGGAAGCGTTTGATGGGATCCTGAAGTAGGGGAAGAACAAAAGCATAGTCTAGGCCAGGTGTGGTGGCTCACACCTGTAATCACAGCACTTTGGGAGGCTGAGGTGGGTGAATCCCTTGAGGCCAGGAGTTCAAGACCAGCCTGGGCAACCTAGTGAAACCCTATCTCTACTAAAAATACAAAAATTACCAGTGCATGGTGGTGCACATCTGTAGTCTCAGGTACTCTGGAGGCTGAGGCAGGAGAATCGCTTGAAGCCGGAGGCAGAGGGCTGATCGTGCCACTGCACTCCAGCCTGGGTGACAGAGTGAGACTCCATCTCAAAAAAAAAAAAAATAATAATAATAATAAGCATGGCATGAGGGGAGAGGACATTTCCTCTGAGATAGGGGGAAGCGATAAAGATGTGTGTGGAGGTGGTCAGTGTATGATGTGTGTGTGCGCGCATGCCTGTGTGAGTGTGTATGTATGAGGGTGACTAGGCTTAAGGGAGCTCATATCTTCTCTGTGAAGTGGGAGATAAGGTCTTGTTCTGAGAGAGAAGGGGCCATTTCCTGCACTAATTTGAGGAGACGCTGTGTGAATGAGGAAGGGAAAATGGTGAGTAGATGTGGGACAGGGCTGTGTGTAGAGTGAACATCTTGACTGCTTTAAGTCTCTTTGCTTTGTTCCTGGGCACAAGGTGGTCAAATTGGAGAATCACTCTGGTCTGGTAGGAAGTTGTAGTTTTTGATGAGGAACATCCTATATTAGATACAGTTTGGTAAAGAATTTCCTCAGAGTAAAATCTGGACAATGGCATCATATCCTGAACCAGCACATAATATTTGAGGCAGTAAAATGGCATGATCATTTCTTTGTCCTTTGGTAGAAGCTGCACCCTGGACCCGGGACTGAAGCCCATGTGTTCCCCTGGTTGCTTCGAGAGGAGACTGTGTTCAATAGAGTGTCCTGCTTTTGCTTCACTAACTCAAGCCCCTGTTCAGAATTCACATGTGGGAAAATTATTTGGAAAGGGCCATAACCAGAGCTGACTGCCAACAGTTCTGTGTGTTGTATGCCAGACAGCCTGGAAAGGTGGGGACTTGGCCTGGGGGACTCAAGGTGCTTGTCACCTATTCAGCAGGCTCTGGCTGGCGATACCCAGGTCCCTGGGATATTGCCATCTGATAATCATCTCCACATTAGCCGGCTTTGTTGGCCAAACCATCAGGCCAGCTGGTGGCTTTTCTTTGGCAGCTGTTTCAAGAAAAGGATTTCTTTTACAGAGACAATGGATTTTTTCATCCATGTTGGGATGGATTTGCGGGTTTCTCCAACAGTGCTGAATTGTTTGTCCAACTTAAAAAAAATAAGTGAACGGGGACACATAATTTTTTACCTCCCTGTAACTTCTGACTCTAGGTCTACAGAGTTAAAGTGCTCCACTTTGTACCCGCTGTATGTAACCATTTCTGAAAAATTTTTTCGTGTTGGAATATCATGTTGTATATAGGCAGGGGATGATTTTGGAAGCATTATTAAATGTTGTCACAAGTTTCATAGAAATATTTATATTCACATAATATGGCATAATGCATGAATTACTAGATATTTAATTACATAATATTTTTATATAAATTCATTCAATACTTTTATATAAAATTTTTAACCTCTTTTTCTTAACTTCAGGAATAACATAACCAGGACTTCTTGGGAGAATAACCTTGTTCTGAACACTGTTTCTTTTTAACAGAAAAAACAAACTTGATTATCTAATCATTTATTAAATAGAAAGAAAAAAATTAAAATTTAGTTAATGGAACAATCATCTGCTTTAGGTTTGTCATATATTTCTGGCTAAGGTAATATATTGATTTTGCTTTGGGAAAAAAACTGTTTATTAAATCTATTTTCTAGTTATAGGCAAACATAAAAAATAAGCATGCATGAAAAAAGTCCTCATAGATGTTGTTAAATGGAAAAAGCAAGTTATAAAATAATACATATAGTATGATTCCCAAACTTATAAAACAAATAAGTAATGTATCTACATACAGATATACAGAGATGCATTTGCATGTATCTAGGTGTGGAAAAAGTAATTGGAAGTAATGCTGAGATTTTAATTTCATTTGTTATTGACTTTCTTGCATTTACTGTTTTCTCGGATGCAGGTACGTCTCATGTGTGGGCAGATGGGAGTAGGTTCTTCAAAATAAAGAGCATGATGCGTCTCAGATGAGGGTGGTAACTGAGGTCTCTTGATGAACTTAAAGTGCTGGATGTCACGTTATTTTCCAGGGGAAGATAATGACGCAAAATTAGAGGTCTAAAATAATTGAACCCTCTTGTTTTCCTCAAAATAAAAAAATGCGTATGCAATGTATTCATTTATTTCTAGTTGTTACACTGTCGGCACTATATATTTTGAGGATTGGATAAAATTTACATAATCAGAAAAGAATTATTAAAAGTAAAGGAAATTTCCAAGTGGTGACTACAAACAATTTGTTAACCTGTGGAAAAGGTACCTGATTTTAAGTCAAACAAATCACATTCACTGCATTAACAGGTACTCTCATGAGATGATGGTTAAGGAAATAAAAATGGAGAGAGGCCAAGGACGAAATTGAACATGTGGCACACATTGCCACTGTGTGTCTCTGACTGGTCTTACACCCATCGCAAACGTGCATGTCTTGGGGTGCGGCAAATTGTTACACAGAAGATACTTAGTGCTGAACAGACTCTGCTTTATATAGCAAGGACATTTTATTAGAGTCTTGGAGCCAATATAGTCTGATTTTTTGAAGACTTAAAAACACACCCACAATTTAAAACAGGCCCGAGGGATGCTCGTGGTGGGACATCAAGCCCAAGGCAATTTGTTGGCAGAATTAAATTCTGGCTAATTTCCTTAGTGCCAGAGTGTCCAGCGCTCTCATTAACTGCACTAGTTACCAATGGAAAATTTGTCTTTCAGTGCAGGGCACTTTGCTGAAGTGGAGCCAGCCTCCTGAGAAGTGCCTGGAAGATTGGCTTGGAGTATTCTGAAGTGGTTTGGGGTTGCCCAGAGACTCATGGGCATGGTACAGTGACTCCTGCCAGGGACTCCTTTGGCCTCAGAGGTAGGTTCTGAAATGAGGACTTGTGCTTATGCCAGGCCCTGTTGCTAAGACAGCTTCTGTATGTTATTGTGTGGGAAAAGGAGGTTCAGCTCTGTGGCCCACCTCCCAATCACTGGGAGAGGAATGTGAAAGGCAGAGCAGGGGACCTGGAGGAGGAATGCGCAGTGATGGAAGTGCAAAGGCAGGAGATGGGTCTGGAAAAGACTCCAGTCACCGTCACTTCCAGGGCAGAAGAAGCCATAGTCAAGGGTAATTGCAAATCAGGGAGCATGCAGTTTATTGAGTTCAGGTATCTTGGGAAAGTGTAAAGAAGTGAGAGGATTGGGGCATGAGGTAAAGATGCCAAGGTCTGCTGCAGTGAGGTGCAGGAAGGGTAAGCTGGGGTGGAATGGGTGGGAGGTAAAATCAAAATGCCTTTGGATTTACAGGTTGAGTGGTATGCAATGCAGAATTTTAGAATGTTCTCTGTGATGACTTCTGCATTTTTACTCAACAAACTTCCATTATCCCATTGTGTTTTCTGTTTACTAATGTCATCAACAAAAGGAATGCCTTTATTAAGTGACACTCAAGTAAAGGAATGACCATATTTATCTTCAGCTTCTTTCTTTCTCTTTCTCTCTCTCTCTCTTTCTTTTTCTTTCTTCTTTTTTTTGTTTTTTGATGGTGTCTTGCTCAGGCTGGAGTACAGTGGCACAATCTTGGCTCACTGCAACCTCCGCCTCCCAGGTTCAACCAATTCTCATGCCTCAGGCTCCCAAGTAGCTGGGCATGCACTACCATGCCTGAGTAATTTTTGTATTTTTAGTAGAGATGGGGTTTTGTCATGTTGGCCAGGCTGGTCTTGAACTCCTGACCTCTGGGGATTCACCTGCCTCAGCCTCCCAAAGTGCTGGGATTATCGGTGAGAGCCACCGCACCTAGCTTTAACTTCAGCCTCTAAATTGACTAACAGCTTAATGCAATGAGATGGGGTGGAGATTGGGGGCTATGGGCAACTGGACTTTGGCCATATTGGAGAACATGGCTGTCAAAGAGATATGCATATCTCACCCTTCCTGTATGCTATGGTCTGAATTATGTGTTCCTCCCAAATTCACATGTTGAAACCTAATTACCAAGGTGATAGTATAAAAGATGGGGCCTTTAGGAGGTGATTAATCATGAGAGGTATGCCCTCATGAATGGGATTAGTACCCTTTTAAAGGGCTTGAGGGAGGGAATTTGGCCTCTTTTTTGCCCTCTTGCCCTTCTGCCTACTGCCTTTGAAGACACAACGATAGGCACCATCTTGGAAGCAGAGAGCAGCCCTCACTGGACACTGAATCTGCTGATGCCTCAATGTTGGACTTGCCAGCCTCCAGAACTGTAAGGAATAAATTTATGCTGTTTATAAATTACCCAGTCTCAGATATTTTGTTATAGCAGCACAATTGAACTAAGATACTATGGTAAAACACATGGCAGAAATACTTTGGATTTATCGTGTAGGAGTTCACCTTGGGACTATGTTTATTTTCCTTTCAAGAAGTGTTTTTCCTGGCTGGGTGTGGTGGCTCATGCCTGTAATCCCAGCACTTTGGGAGGCCGAGGCAGGCAGATCACCTGAGGTCAGGAGTTTGAGACCAGCCTGGCCAACGTGATGAAACCCCATCTCTACTGAAAATACAAAAATTAGCTGGGCGTGGTGGTGTGCACCTGTAATCCCAGCTACACAGGAGTCTGAGGCAGGAGAAGCGCTTGAACCCAGGAGGCAGAGGTTTCAGTGAGCTGAGATCATCCCACTGCACTCCAGCCTGGGTGATAAAGTAAGACTCAGTCTCAAAAAAAAAAAAAAAAAAAAGTAAGTGTTTTTCCTTTTGAGAAAGGAGAGACTAAATTTATGTATTACTTCAGGCATTGGGATGATGCCATCCTGGGATGCGAGAAACTCTCAGATGAAAGAATAAAATGGGTCAGGTGTGGTTTCTCACTCCAGTAATCCCAGCACTTTGGGAGGCTGAGGCGGGCGGATCACTTGAGGTCAGGAGTTTGAGATCAGCCTGGCCAACATGGTGAAACCCCATCTCTACAAAAAATACAAAAATTAGTTGGGTGTGGTGGCGTTCGCCTGTAGTCCCAGCTACTCAGGAGGGTGAGTCAGGAGAATCGCTCGAACCTGGGAGGCAGAGGTTGCTGTGAGCTGAGATTGCACCAGCCTGGGTGACAGAGTGAGACTCTGTCTCCAAAAAGAAGAAAATAAATAAAATAAAAAAGTAAAAAAATACAGGATGGTTTGAGACATGGGATATCATTGGAGCTAACAAGAGAGAGGGTATGATTAGAATACCTCGAGTACAACCGGAGAGTCACAAGAAGAAAAAAAAGAAAGGAAAAGTTGGAAAAGTTAAAGATTCTGCTAGGCATTGTGGTGTAGCTGTGAGAAACTGAACAAGTTAGAGTAGACTTATCAGTAGATGTCTGGAGGGGCCAAGTAGAATGATTTATTTTATATGCCTAAGAAAATGGCTGCAGAAAATAAATACAGGAAATAGGAGTTAGGATAGAATAGGGAGGCGTCCTTCAAAGGATCCCTCAAGTCCACAAGTTACCAGAGAGAGCTATTTCATTTATTCTGATAGACTTGGTGTTTTAGGATGAGAAATTTCCTTGTGAATACAGCATATAGTGAGCTATGAACAGCCAGATGGTAAAATTTTAATGTTTATGTACTATTTACTTATTTACTCATGCTCTCTGGTTAAAGAAAAGAGGCTCACATTCTCACTTTTTGCTGTATGTTGCTTCTGTCTCTGTAATTCTTAGTGTGTTAAAATGCAACCTTTTTTCAAGATATCAGTGTCCTTGCCCCTCTAATAAGCTTCCCTAGCTCATAGGAAAGAAAGGGCAATCTTGTGGCTACAGTTTTGTCTGATGCCATTGGAGAGCATAAATGACAGTTTGGGCAAAGTATTATGAGAAGTCTTTCAGTAACGTCTAGTTTGCAGACTTAAATATAATAGAGAATTTTCTTTTTTAAAAAAGATTCCCCCAGCTCCATTAAGGTATAAATGACATAAAATGATATACCTTTATTGTATACAATGTGATGTTTTCATATATGTATATGTTGTGAAATGATTAAATCAAGTTAATTAACACATACTTAACATTTTTTTTGTGGTAAGAGCATTTAAAATCTTAACTTTAAACATTCTTAATTTAAAAATATATATTATTATTAACTGCAGTCACCATACTGTACAAGAGATCTCCAAACCGTATTCATCAGATTTAACTAAAACTTTGTACCCTTTAACCAACATCTCTCCCCCACCCCCACCATCCCAGCCCCTTGCAACCACCATTCTACTCTGTGTTCCTATGACACTGACATTTTTAGATTCCACATATAAATGACATCATGCAGTATTTGTCTTACTATGTCTAGCTCATTTCACTTACCATGTGCTCCAGATTCATTATGATGTTGCAAATGGCAAGATTTTTTTTTCCTTTTCAGGCTGAATAGTATTCCTATGTACGTAAATGCCACATTTTCTTTATCCATTCATCCTTTGATGGACTAGATTGATTGATTCCATATCCTGGCTATTGTGAATAATGCTGCAGTGAACCTGGGAGTGCAGATATCTCTTTGACATAACTAATTTCATTTCCTTTGGATAAATACCCAGAAGTGGGATTGCTGGATCATATGGTGGTTCTATTTTTAACTTTTTGAGGACCCTCCAAACTGTTTTCTATGATGGCTGTACTGATTTTCATTCCCACCAACAGTGAACAAGGGCCCCCTTTTCTCCATATCCTTGCCAACAACTGTTGTCTTTCATCTTTTGAATAATAGCTGTTCTAACAGGTGTGAGGTGAATATCTCATTGTGGTTTAGATTTGCATTTCCCTGATGATTAGTGATGTTGAGCATTTTTTCATAGACCTGTTGGTCATTTGTATGTCTTCTTTTGAGAAGTGTCTAATCAGATCCTTTGCCCATTTTTTGATCAAGTTGTTTTTTTCCTTGCTACTGAGTTATTTGGATTCATTATGTATAGTTACTTTGGATATTAACCCCTTATCAGATGTATGGTTGGCAAATTTGCAACATGTAACGAGCCATACAGAGCAAGGTGGCATTATTGAGTAGTTCTAGGCAAGAATCTTCTGACTCCTTAGCCTGTGTCAGAGTGTGGTTCTAGGACCATCTGCATGAGAATAACCTGTTAGAAGACATATTACATGTGAAAAGCCTTCTTAAAAATGCAGATCCCTGTGCTCTACCCCAGGCCTGCTGAGCAAAAATTCTTGGGAGTCTCAGTAATCTGAGTTTGCGAACTTTCCAGATGATAATAATCCACAATAAAATGTGCAGATCCCCACCTTAAGGGAAGGAAGAGGATACAGAACACCTTGACCCCACTTGTTATTGCAGCTGGGTCTGCTCTGAATTCTCTCGGTTTTGGAGACCACATTTTATTTTTTATTTTATTTTATTTTTTTGAGAAGGAGTTTCACTTTGTCTTCCAGGCTGGAGTGCGGTGGCGCGATCTCAGCTCACTGCAAGCTCCGCCTCCCGGGTTCACGCCATTCTCCTGCCTCAGCCTCCCAGTAGCTGGGACTACAGGCGCCCGCCACCACGCCCGGCTAATTTTTTGTATTTTTAGTAGAGACGGGGTTTCACCGTGTTAGCCAGGATGGTCTCGATCTCCTGACCTTGTGATCCACCCGTCTTGGCCTCCCAGAGTCCTGGGATTACAGGCGTGAGCCACCGCGCCCGGCCTGGAGACCACATTTTAAATTCTTGCTACCAAAGCATGGTCTTGCTACCAAAGCATCATTACCTAGGCACCTGTTAGAAATGTAGCATCGCAGGCCCCATCCCAGACATACTGAATCAGAATCTGCATTTTAACAGATGATGTGCATGCACAATTAAAGTCTGATAAGCACTGCCCCACATTACGCTAATGTCAAACAGCAGGGGAAGGATTGAGCTGGCAGGTGTAAGGGCTGAGCCCAATAGGTAACTCTCTTTTCCCTCATCTCCCAACCAACTGAGAGACAGACCCAGGAATCAGATAGATGGATGATACCAGCTTTTTTTTTTTTTTTTAACTGAGAAAGGCTGTATTGGAGGACATGACTTGAGTCAAGTACAGTTATTAACTCTTCCCGGAATTGAATGTAACCTCCCAAATGTCTGGCCTCTTTAGCAGCTCTGCCCCACTAAGCTCTCTACACGGCCGAGACACCAGACCAGAATGCGCCCTTTCAACAGGCAGAGAGAGCCAAAGGGGAAAAGAGCTGAGTCAAGGCCGCCAAGTTCCTGCTTCCAGCCCTACCAGCCGGTCACTCACGCCTAGCAATGAGGAAGCCGGGAGTCCTGTCTAGGTAAGTCGTTCTGCCTGGAAACTCGAGGCCTGAGGAATGAGTGCTCCTTCCTAACATCAGATGTAAAAACTCTGAGAGCTTTTGTCCCTTTGGAGACCACGAGTTGCATTGGGCAGCCAGCTCAGCTGGCTTCAGAGTCACTGTGACATAGGGTCTCTGATGATGTCTTATGGAGTCTGGGTGAGTAGGCCCCTCTGTCCTACCCAGCGACCTCTTTCCATCACATGCGGGTTCCACAGCTAGCAGGGCTGGAGGATCCCATGGAAACCCAGGTGATGGCTACATCTGCAGATGAACTTCTGAAGGCAGGAGCCAATTGGCGAGGTGTATGTTTTTGAGGATAGAGGGCTGCATTTCACCCCTTGCTAAGATCTTGTTACTTTAGAATCTTCCTTTAGTCCATGAAGAAGCCGCTTTCCTTCCAGGCGCAGGGTTCTCACCTCCATTACAAGAAAATGACTGAATTCAGACTGATTGCCTTAATGCCCGATGGTGTGTTGTTAGTGATATGTAAAACCAGGCATTGAACCCCAGTGTGTCTAGCATTGTCTAATCATTTAATTGGCCATAATGATTTTATTATCTGGGTTGTAAAATTGGACAATTGGCAATTTTTTCCAAGTGCTTCCAGGTTGATTATATACGTAAAGGGGAGGAGGTATATAATATCTATACACCCAGTAACTGCTTTTTCAAATTACATTCATTCCTCTTTATTTTATTTGAAAGTGTACGGAGTTCAACACAGTTCAAGGAAAGCATTGTGGTAAACAGGCAGCTTAAATGTGAGCAGTGTAAAGAGCAGCAGCTTGCAGAAATATTGCTATAGATACTAAGACCGCATCCTGCCTCGATACGGACCACACATAATTGAATCATGTTCAATAGAAGGCCATTACAAAACCGAACTTATTTGCAATGCTAATGTGGGGAAGACAGCTGTCACAGGGAATTAAATATGATCATTCAGAGCTTGAATAAATGAGGTGTCCATTATCTTCTGGCTGTGTTGCAGGCTGCCTGAAGAACACAAATAAATGATACTGTTGCAGTAACCAGCCCATGGTTTTGTCTTTTAGTCATAGAAATATGAGAGAGAGGGAGGTAGGGGCGGGCGACAGGGGTATAGAAAAAAGGCTTGGCAGATAAATATAGGCAAGAGTTTTGTGCCCCTCCCCCCAAGAAACCATGAATGCACAGACATAATCAAACTCTATTTTTGATGGCTGAAATAGATTTTAATTCTATTAAAGATTTTTGTCAAGATTCATCCTTTCTAAGACTCAAATCACAGCCAACTCACAAAGGAGGCTGAATGTTGAAAGGGTAGAGTGGGGAGTAAACAAAGCTAATCCTTTTGTCCCTTCCCCAAGGCCTTCCTTCCCATCCAAATGGATAATAAATATAACAGAACTTCTTCATGGATAATCAATCTGCCAATGAGCATAAAAGGTACTTGGATCAATGCTGGTTTGAAAAATGCCATTAATTATCCAATTAACAGAAAGGGAGGCTTCCTTTGACTGGATCTAAGCAAACTATCTACAAATCAGTTTTCTTATGTTAATAACAGATACTAAGCTGTCATCTTTTGATGAACACGTAAGAAAGTTCGGGACAATCTTAAAAAAAAAAAGCACTTAAAGATAAGACCATCCTTGTTTCCTGAGGAATATCTGATACACATAATGCTAGAGCATGGTTTATTGCTCTGAAATTACATGACACTGTGATTGAGAGACAAAACCCAACCTTCTATGAGCAGTGGTCTTTCTTTATGAAAGACAGCTTCTGGTGCAAAATGACCCCTTGGAGAGATAAACGAGGTCTGTGGAAGGCTTGGGTTCTTGTCTTTTTGATTTTATTCTTCTCTATAAATATCAGGAAACTTAGCAGTCATCTAAAATGCAAAAAGAAAAAAAAGATACTGAAAGAAAGAAAGAGATTATGTGTGTTTGTATGTATTTTTGTATAGCCTAAGGAACTTAGCATTGGATATTTTCAGTATTATAGTATATAAATTACATTTATGCAGCATATAAATTCAATTCAAGAAGGTGTTATATTTTTAACTTCTAAGGGCTCTGGGTTTCTTAGCACTGCTTTTCTGTAAATTCTAAGAAGGTGGTTTCAGGTGTTTGTGTATTATTTTAGAAATGAAATGTGAAAACTGGACTTCCAAGAATTTGTAGTGTGACAGAGCTGTATATAAGGATTATTCCTCCACACTCAAAATATAACATTTCTTCTATCAGGGCTCATATTTTTTTAGGTGGTTAAAAATCTCTTCCTTTGAGGGAATATTATTGGTAGGATAGTCATTGTGATGGGAAGAGAAAAAATAAATCGGATTTTGAAAAATTCTCTAGAACCGTGGCTTGGAAGGAACTTTAAGGAGTGATGGCACTAATGCCTGGGCTGGAAGAGCTGCTACCTCAAACAGAAGTCATCCTGGATTCAGGATTTCTAATTTACTAGAAGCTTGAATAATTTAGTAGAGGATTAAGTATACGTCTTGGCTGCAGCCTTAATGATTTTTTCTGAAATAGAATTTTCTGTCTGATTGTAAATATATATGTTTATAATAAAAACTTCAAACAGGACAGAAATGTATGAAATAGCAAGTAAAATTTCACATAATTTCAGCCTTCCAGAGATAATCACTATTAACAGTTTTATTTCTACATTTTTCCCTGTGCATATACAAATATCTTTTTTCTCAAAAATATATATATGATATGAGTCCACAGGTTTTATTTGCTTAGTTATATGTCAGTAGGCATCTTTTCACATCTGTACAGATAGATCTGCTTTTTTTTATATCGCAGGTATAGATGTACTTAATTTTTAAAAATGAAATATTCCGTTGTGTATAATAATACTTATTATAATTTAACCCAAGGGTTGGCAAACTATAGCTTGCAGGTCAAATCCTCACTTGTTCATGTAGATAAAATTTTACTGGAAAACAACCACAATCATTTGTTTATTGTCTGTGGCTGCCTCAGCGCTACAGCGAGCAGCTGAGAAGTTGCAATGATGTGTAGCCTTCAAAGCTGAAAGCTGTACAGCTATGTTACTATATTGCGCATTTACAGAAAAAGTTTATCAGCTTCTGATTTAACCAATCATATGTGTTGAGTGTGTAAATTGATTTTAATTTTGTACCGTAAAAATAATATGGCAATAAATATATTTGTACATATAAATACTGAAACCCATGTTTGTGTATTTATTCACTATTTCCTCAGGATAGTTTCTGAGAGAACTGCTGAGTCTTGCCTTAACTTCTGTGGCCCATTAGTCTTCTTCCACTTGATAAATTCCTTTGCTAAATGATGTTTCATAACAACCAATTTTTCAGGACATAAATTTTAGAATCAGGAAGACCTGAACTTTCTGCTTCTGTAATTATTTGCTGTGTGATTGCACAGGTTTTTGGCTGCAAACAACAGAAATCAATTGTAGTTAATTAAAGCCAGGAGATTTATTGGATGTTGTGCAGTCAAGGGTTAACCCAGCAGGTGCAGATTGCTCAAGCCCTGAACATTCCAAAGAAAGGCCTGTCTTTAGGAGGACTGGCGCTTGACAGGTTCCTGGGAGACAGCCTCTGAGCCCTTGGAACATCCTGCTTGAGACGAGTGTTTTTGTACTCCTGAGGCCTTGTGTCATGTTGTATCAGTGTGATCTCTGGGGGCTGGACACTGAGTAGCAAAGTAGTGGTCACACAGATGCTGCCTAGCTATCTGACCGGCTGGCAATAGACACACCCTAGACACCAAGAATTGGGTGAGCTTCCGTGGTTGGCAATGCTTCCTTGTTGCTGCACATCACTGATGGGAGAATTAAGTGCTGTCCATGCAACTCTGCTCAGAGAGGACAACTAGAGACTTGCTCCTGGTTCCTCTTGGACTCCACCCTAGGAGTCTTTTTCCTTTGCTGATTTTATTTTACTTTTAATTAATTTATTTTTAAAGAAATGGTGTCTCACTCTGTTGCCCAGGGTGGAGTGCAGTGGCACAATCACAGCCCACTGCAGCCTTGAACTCCTGGGCTCAGGCTATCCTCCTGCCACAGCCTCCCAAGTAACTGGGACTACAGGTGCTACCATGCCTGATTAAAAACCTTTTTTTTTTTTTTTTTTGGTAGAGACAAAATCTTGTTTTGTTGCCCAGACTGGTCTTGAACTCCTGGCTTCAAGCATTTCTCCCGTCTCAGCCTCCCAAAGTGCTGGAATTACAGGTGTGAGCCACCACAGCTGGCTTCTTTGCTAATTCTGATCTTTATCCTTCTGCTGTAATAAACCATAATCATGAGTATACATAACAGTTCTTCAGAGTTCTGTCAGTTCTTCTAGTAAATCATGGAACCTGAGGGTGGGCTTGGGACACCTGACATCTGCATATGTATGTGTATGCATTGTAGTGAGTAGCTCATACATGTAATGAGAAGGCTAGAGAGTGAGGCTTGGAATCAAGACAGAACCTATACAAAAGCATGGTCCATTATATTTCTTGTCAGGTCAAGACCATTGAAATGATCAGGCACTAACTTTTCTGTGTGGGACTCAAGAATCAAAGTTCTGGAGAGTGCTAACTTAGGGCATGTGCTGCCCTCCCTCTCCTGCTGCACAGGTGATGGGAGGGAACCTCTGAGGGAGAGAGCCTGTGAGGCTGTAGGCTCCTTGCTGTGGTGGGCAAACAGTACACACACCTCAGTCAGCAAATACTTATAATCTACTATATACCTGTGTTATGAGCACTGAGGATATAGGTGAGAACAGGAAAACATCCTGCCTTTAGGGTGCTTATGTTCTGCTAAAGGTAATTCTTCAAAAGGGAATTGATGTGCTATTAGGGAGGAGTTGTGGATGCTGGATAGTCAAAAGATAGCAACCATCTACTTCAGTAGACAATTACTCAACCTTTGTAAGTCTCAGTTTCCTTGTCTGCAAAATGAGGATCAATGATGATGTAATTAGACTATCGTATGGATTATCT